CAGAGTCAAAATCGAGCGTGTCGGTTAAGTCACCGACAGTGGCTATTAATTGGGTGGTGGGTGGGCAACGAATTTCTTCGTCGTCTGCTTCCCACTCGAGCCGGATATAGTTCGGCCAAGAGTCTCCTGACAAGGAGAGAGACCTCGGTGAATTTAGCACATCATCCAAGGGCGAGTGCTGAAAGATATTCGCGGAGGTGAACTCCATGACCGGGGCCCAATCAGATTCGATAGGCATGGACGTACGCGGTTCGGATCCCATAGCCGGAGACGAGTCCGGGGGTCCGACGATACCAACCTCATAAGAGGTTGGGTTAGTGTTCGGCTCCAAGGCCGATGAGTGTGTGGCCTCTGTGGCGGGGTCCATCCACCCATCCTCGGATGGCACAATCTACTCCGGATTGATTCCGGCCGGGGCCGCCGCAGGCGCGATCTCCCGAACACTATCCGATGGCAGATCTAAGTCATGCTCGTCATGACTGTTCGGCGCACCTGACACGGTCTCGAATCCGTCGAAGATCAAGTCTCCGCAGATGTCAGTAGTATAGTTCAAGATTCCAAACCTGACCTGATGGCCGGGGGTGTAGCTATCGATCTGCTCCAGATGGCCAAGCGAGTTGGCCCACAGTACGAAGCCGCCGAATATGAAGATCTGTCCGGGAAGGAAAACCTCCCCCTGGACCGCGTCGTTGAAGATGATTGAAGGAGCCATCAAGCCTTATCGCGAAGGCACAGGGGAACTCTCCATGAAAGCACCAATGTCTGTGTCAAAACCGGCGGATCTCGGGTAGGGGATCCCGAACTGTGCGTCTAAGGCTAATGGTAACAAGAGGCGGGGGACACGATGTTTTACCCAGGTTCGGGCCCTCTCGATGGAGGTAATACCCTACTTCCTGCTTGATTGATCCTGATGATATGAGTATTATAAGAGTTGATCTACCATGAGATCGTAGAGGCTAAACCCTAAAAGCTAGCCTATGATTATGATTGTTCTTGTCCTATGGACTAAACCCTCCAGTTTATATAGACACCGGAGGGGGTTAGGGTTACACAGACTCGGTTACAGAGAAGGAGATCTACATATCCGAATCGCCAAGCTTGCCTTCCACGCAAAGGAGAGTCCCATCCGGACACGGGACGAAGTCTTCAATCTTGTATCTTCATAGTCCAACAGTCCAGCAAAAGTATATAGTCCGGCTGTCCGAGGACCCCTTAATCCCGGACTCCCTCAGTCGGGGTCTCCGATGGTTGGGGTGGCTGCAGTTGGCGGACGTCGTCCACTTACCCTGCCCTGTATAGACCGACTAGGCCCTGTCCTCACGAAGGAGCTAGTTGTGGGGCTCTTGGAAATGTCTTTTGCCGCTTCACCGGTTATTGGCGTCCAACTGCAATGGCGGCGGCGGAGGGGGGGATCTAGGATGCCGGGGCGGCGACCCTTGGTGGTGGGAGCCATGGTTCTCATGGGTGGAGCTCGCGGCTTAGGTGTGGACCAACAATCATGGCAGTGTGGGCGACATGGTGGTCGGTGTTTTAGGCGATCGTTCGTGGTATTGGAGGCTGGGAGGCGGGCTGGGTACTGATTCCTATCTGGCTTGTCCAGACCGATGGTGACGGCACTTGAGAATTTCTATGAAGGCATCGTCACGGCTACTATCTTCAGATCGTTCTGGGTGAAAACCATGATCCTTTGGATGAGCACCAGGACAAGAGAATTGAGAGAGAGTTCCTTGCTCAGCAAGAACACTACGCAACATCTTAGAGATATACTCGCCAGCAGAGTCAGCACGAAAAACACGAATGGGTGAAGAGAACTGAGTATGAACCATGGCAGCAAAACGCTTATAAATAGACAACACGTCTCTACAAGAAGTCATGAAATAAAGCCATGTGTAATGAGAGAAGTCATCTATGAAAATAATATAGTATTTATGACCACCTTTCAAAGCGAAAGGAGCCGGACCCCATACATCAGAATGGACTAAATCGAAAGGACGCTTAGACACTGACTCACTATGTGAATATGGTAACTGAATCTGCTTGCCAAGACGACAACCCTGACACTTTAAAGAGACATCTCCTGAGACAGACCCCAGAAGATCTCGACGAACTAAAGACGACAACCAAGAACCACATAGATGACCAAGTTGATGATGCCACTGCTTGAAGGAACCAGTAACGGAGGCGACTGAAGCAGAGGAACTGGTGATAGTAGTGGCAGTGGAAGGAACATGAAGCCAGTCCAACTCCCAAAGACCCTGAGAATCACAGCGGCGAGGGCCAGCCCCAACCAGAGTGTGCGTGCGACGGTCCTGTACAGAACAAGAGTCAACTTCAAGGATAATGTGACAACCAGAATCAGTAAGTTGACCAGCAGAAAACAGATTCATGGTAAGTCGAGGAACATGAGCAACATCAGGAACAGAATAAGGAGTGGTAAGATTGCCTCTACTAATGACAGAAAGTGGAGTACCATCAGCAGTGAGGACATGAATAGGAGAATCCAGCGATCGAAGAGAGGACAAAGTGGAAGAATGAGAAGACATATGAAAAGAAGCTCCAGAGTCCAGAACCCATGGGGATGTACCTGACTGTGTAGAGGGTGGTTGCTTAGTGCGGGAAGCATCAGTCACAGAACCATCAGTACCCGTCGAGGAAGAACCTGAAGCCGCGAGCAGACGCTTAAGTCTCAGAATATCCTGCTCAGTCAAAGCAATGGCTGAAGCTGTCGAGGTAGATGACGAAGTCCCTGGAGATGATGATTGCGCCTTGCGCGGGTGTTTCCTCTTCGTGTAGCACTGGGACTCAATATGACTATCATTGTTGCAGTAGTCGCAATGTGGACGGGGGCGACCTAAGCCTCCAGAAGGAGTGGGCAAGAGCGGTGGAGCACTCGAGCGAGAAGGGGTCGGTGCAGTAGGTGGCGTAGAAGGAGCCCGAGTAGCGAGCACAGAGGAAACCTCCAGCAAACCAGCACCACGTAAGCGAGTCTCCTCAGCATGAATCTTAGAAAGCGCCTCCATGAGAGAAATACGGCCACGAGCAAACAACTGAGCACGCCGGGGCTCAAACTCCTTACGGAGCCGAGACAGGAACTCGTAGACGCGATGAAACTCCAAATTGGCCTGGACCCTTGGCAACAGGGGCAAGTACGACAACCAGCACTACAAAGAGAATCAAGCTGGCGCCAGATAGCAGAACTCTGTGCATAGAAGTCATCAACAGTAGAGTCACCCTACTGAAGAGCATGCTCCTGACGGACCACAGAAAGGTATAAGGCATCACCAGAGGGCTCATAGCATTGACGAAGACGGGTCCACATCTCAAAGACAGTAGGAAGTCCCAGAAACTCATAAGCTAACTGAGGCAGAACACTAGCAGTGAGAACAGCTGTAGCACGAGCATCATCATCAAGCCACTGGGTGTAAACAGACAGAGCACCATGATACGTCTGAAGAGTCTCCTCATAAGACAAAACCTTCTCATCATAAGCACGATCAGCAGCCTCATCAGCAAGCTTAGCTGCATCCTTGGCGGCCTGATTAGCATCCGTAGGAAGAACCGGTGGAGTCGGCAGAGTAGGGGCCACCGGAGGAACCGGACGTGGCGGACAGCAAACCTCGCCAGAAAGAACACCCCAGAGACGGATGCCACGCATGTGAATGCGCATGAAGCCAGTGAACTCGGTGTAGTTAGTACCATTGAAGATCATCGGACAGCGAGAGACAACAACATAGCCCGATGCAACAGACAATTTTTTTAGCAGAGATCCGAAATCAGCAGAATCCG